TCGTCCAGTGCCGATCTGTTGACGGCTGCCTTAATGAGGATGCCCTAACTAGGGGTTTCTGATTTTGGGACAGATCGTCCAGGCCGATCTTACGACGTCCTGGCCGATGTTACCAAAAACAGAAATCATATAGGGAGCAAGAGAATTTCTACCAAGTTATAGCCACACCAAATACAACAGACTCAAGAAAGGAAAAGATTACAAACCTGACACAGACTAGTTCTACCCAATCTTGAGCTGTTCCAGATTGCAGTCTGATCGTGTGGACCTGAAACGTAGACATTAAGGCAATCATATAGAAATAAGGAATGTTTGCTCATCACAAATCATAAACCATAGATCTGTAACAACATTCAATGTTATTTAAATCAAGCATGTAAATATTGTTGATCCGCTTTCCGGCAAATAGTGTTATTATTTAAGCTCATAATGCATAAATGTCAAAAAATTTATGATGAAGCCTTGTCGCAAGTGCACTGATGCTGGAGAAGTTGTTGTTTTAGTCAATCCTCAGCAAAACATTTTCAATCAGAAGATTATTGGAATTACAATTATACATCTCCTACCACCTTCCTAGTGGTGTTGTCTCCAAGAGTCGACCTTGCCTCCTGTCCTGGTCTCCATCACTATGAATTGATTGGCATCGCCAGTCATATGTCAAGAGCATCTGTTGTCTATGTAACACATGCTCTCACGAGGCCTTTTGTGAGAGCTGCCTACAAATTATCAAATGTCAGAATTTGGAACTCAACATGTTGGGTTCCTTCTTATGGAAAGTAGAATGCAATGCATACTGGATCATGTAGCTTGGGTCTCCAGACCCATGTGGCATGTGATGGTGCAAGTGTGTCTATGTGTCCTAGCATGCCACATGAAAAATATCTAACTCCCATGACCTAATGAATGGGGTGTCAAGATGTGGGGGGTCATTGGGTCAAAGTGACCATTTTAAACCTTAAGGCCTTAAGTCAGAAATGGATTGACTTGGTCAACAAGTTGACCCATGGTTGGAATTAAGTTCAAGAGGTTTCAAAGATCATTTGGGGAAGGTTTCAAAAATTGATTTTTGTTGAGTCTAGAAATTAGGTAGTTAAGCCTAGATGAATGTCCCAAGGCTACAAGAGGGGGTGAATTGGTAGTTAAAATTTAAGTCCCTTTAAAAAATTATTGAACCGAAATAAAATTTCTTTTAATTTTGTAATAATATGTTTTTCAACCCAGAAGTTTTTAAAACTGAAATATAAAGTGCGGAAACGTAAAATTATCAAAGTAAATAAACCAGATTTATAGTGGTTCGTCTATACCAGACCTACATCTACTCCAGAGACGCCTCTGAGTATGCACTAATACCAATAGTGACTCTCCTTTTGCACCACAGCAAGCGGAGAAGCCTTTACAACACACTCTTTTCACCACTCCCCGGTGCGCGAGAACCGTCCTTTTTACACAATCCCAGTGTTGGCAGAGACAGTCCGTCTTTCACACTATCCCCAGTGTTGGCAGAGGAACCGTCCGTTCTTTCACACTCTCCTAGTGTGGGGCAGAGAACCCTTCCGTCCTTCACACTCTTTTAGTGTGGGCAGAGAAACCCTTCGTCCTTTCACACTCTTCCTAGTGTGGGCAGAGAACCCTTCAGCGTGTTTACACTTCAAGTGTGGGCAGAGAACCCTTGGCTGTTCACACTCTCCATTGTGGGCAGGACCCTTCGGCTGTTCACACTCTCCAAGTGTCGGCAGAGAACAGGATCTCCTTGACAGATTCTCACAAGACTAGAAGGAAGAAGGAAAAGAGTGAAGTAATCCAATCACAAGTAGAGACTCTTACCTTTGAACTCAAGTGAGCTTCTCGTCCAGTGGTAGAATCCTCCTTGAATGCCTCTCTTCCACTCTTCCTTAGCTATTCTCTCAAGAGGCACGAAGATCAAATGACAAAAAGATTGGTGGCAGTTCTAATTTGGACTATTTATACAAAAGATAAGAAAAACCGCCCAAAACTTAGTATTCAATTCTGTACGAGTGGATCGTCCTGTATGATCGTGGATCGTGTTGGACGATTTTACTAAACGATCATTTGATATGTTACGAAATTCTTCGTCAGCTGATCGTCCTTACGAATAGGTTCATGCAGTCGAACGTTATTACAAGGTCGGTTCTAGAAACTGCTGAAACTGTTCTAAGTCGGTTAATCGTTTGAACAAAAATTTATTCGTCTGAACGAAATTTTTACAGAGGACCATGTCCTGGACGATTCTTTACTTCGTTCTGGACGAAAAATTTCCAGAGGACAATTGCCACGGCGAATATCGTATGACAATAATTTATCTCTAGACCATCGATTGAATTCAGTATGATTTTTGCATACTTCTACATTGATATCTTGTAACTTTTGTTCTAATATTTTCCCGAGGACAGTACGCAACGGACGAATATATCTCGAAACATTCCGTCGGAAACATTCCCAAAAATGTTGAACCTAATCGTCAGAATTAGATATTTTTCATTTGTCCTGGAAACTGAATTCAGTACTTATGTGCAAAATTATTTCGTAGCGAAGTATACTTATTCTGTTGTTCCAATATTGCTACATATAGTGAAGAAGTTGTAATTCTGAGTCGTTCAGTATCAGAACTGGACAAATATTGCGTTCTGTACGATCCGTATAAATTTTATATATCTCCTTATGTGTGTGTAAGTTTATTCACTCAAAATACAATCACGTCCTTTCAATTTGATTTCTAAGAAAAATGCAGCTTCAAATTTACAAAATATCGCATGCTGAAATTTAATCTTGAAGTCTTCGTAGTCTGGAGTTCGTTTTCATTGAATGTCAGTACAGCACAAGAGCAAATACAATTCTTCTAAGAAAATGTTAGGGAATAACTACACATTTGAAAATAATGTTTTGCAATTATCAAAACTTCATTAGTTTCAAAATGTAAGCATGCAAATAACAACTATCTAACAATCTCCCCTTTTGGATGAGGCAAAATATTATGTTTGTATGGTTTAAACCCATTTGAGGGTTTAAGCCTCTTAAGGAGCCTTGTTGACCAGTCAACTGGTCAACAAAAGGTGAGGTGGCAGCCAAAGTCATCTAGGGGATTGATTAAGAAAATTTGGAGAGGGTTTAAGTATGCTTAGGTGCATTTGGGATTTAATTCAAAGTGGAAGGGCTTAAGTGTTGGTTTGGTCAAACTAGATTGACTGAGTCAACTAGATTGATCCAAGATGCGGGTCTGGGCTGCAGAGATCTATAATGATATTTAGAGTATGGTGGAAGTAATTTCAAGGATTAAATATGTCAATCGGGTCAAATAGGCTTATTGGGCCCTTAATGGGCTTTTAAGCCAAAATTGGTTGACTTGGTCAACTAGTTGGGTTCAGGGTCTGGAAATGGGTTCAATCAAATTGACATGACATTTAGAGTCTATTGGGTGTGGTCCCAGGGTTTGTAGGGTTTAATTTGGCTAAATGGGCTTTATGGTGCCTATTAAGGGTCATTAGGGTCGATATTGGTTGATCTGGTCAACCAGGTTGACCCAGGGTCTAGGGTCAGGCTTAACAGGTTTCAAATGACATTTCGAGACCAATGGAAGTGGTTCCATGGCTTGGAGAGGTCATTTGGGTCAAAGCACCTATTTGGACCTTTAAAAGGCCTTTTAGGTCAACTGTGTTGACTTGGTCAACCAGGTTGACCCAGGGCCTGGGAATGGGTCCAACAAGTTTGGTTTGATATTTGAAACCTACTGGAAGTGGTTGCATTCAATTTGGAGGTCGTTTGGTTTGAAATGCTTATTTGAGCCCCCATAGGGGTATTATGGTCATTTTGGGCTCATGCCCACTAGGGGCTGAAATGAGTCCAAAAAAATACAGTTTATTGTTCAATAGGTCTGGATTAATGGTCTGGAAGTGACTAGAGGCTTTGGTGAAGGCTCTAAGGTCAGAATCTTCTATGTGACAGGTCTAGTGGCATAGGCTGTAAATATTTGAAGGTTTTATGGCCTTTGGATTTTGATTTAGTTTATGGGGTTAGAGACCTCAGAATGGGCTCAAATTTAGAGGGTTGCCTCCAGAGACATGTCCCATCAGTATACAACTGACAGACCCTGAATCAGAGGTCATTTGATTGAGTTTTAAAGCGTTTGAAAATTTACTGGAAAAGGTCTTTAGGACAGGGCCTTAAGACCTGGGTTTTGGTTTCAAATTCTAGATTTGGATATTGAATTGATTTAAGGTCAAGATTAGTCCAAGTGACCTCATACAAAAATGAGGTCAACAATCTGATACATCACAAATAAATTGATCAGGAGCTTAGAGCCCACAATCCCTCTGACTTCAATTGTCTGACCTCCGTCGCCCACCAATTGCGATCCCTTTGACCACCGTTGCCCGACTACGTTCCTTCTGACCAAACAAACTGGCCAACATTCTCTTAAGAAGAACTCTCATAATACTGGATTCTTCCTATTCTCACCTTATAATGTGCTATATATAATGTATATTTGATACATTGAGCCAAGACCTTCCCCCGGGAAGGGCATCATTTGTAATCAACTACAAACAATAACAGAGTCATTTTAACTGGATCAGACCCCGTGGTTTTTCCACTTTTTCAGGATTTTCCACGTAAAAATCTGTCGCTTATAAATCTTACACCCTTCTCTCTTATCTATATATGTGTTGAATATTTGTATAAAATTAGGATGCTAAACTCTTTGTCTCTCTACCGTCTTGAATGCTCCAATAAAGAAAAAAATGGACGAGATGCTTTAAATTTCAAACTTCTACAAAAATGTATCAATGGTATGTATAAAATGGACAAATTAATATAACAGCTCCTACTTTTCTCAAAGAATAAATATATGTATTCTTCCATATCATAGAGTTTGAAAGTGACCAAACTTACACTTTTTGCTTATTATGTACATTGATCAGCATACTATAATCCATCTATTATTAGTACGTATAAGTATCGGCTATTCTTCAGTTGTAAAATGTAACTCACTTCCATAGATCAATCTGTTCACTTGAAGTTGACGTAGATGCACATTCTGCAACTGCAATCTCCTTATCTGCAACTTCAAAGACTTTCCCTGCATTACAGAAATCTGATTCTTTTGAGACATCTTCCTGACTTAGTTGCGACGCTACAAATTTGTCGAAAACTCTCCAATCTGTGACAATCTGAAGCTGTTGATTATTCTGCAAAGTCTCATGGTTGATGAAGTGAGGTAACTTGGGGCTTTCAAGGTGAGGGAGATTAAGGAATGTGTGATCTTGAGGAAGATGGTGGTGACTGACTAGTTCAAGGTCTGGTTTGCAGTTGAAATAAGGAGAGGGCTGATGAGAGATTTCACTGTGTTGACATGTTAATTTCTTTGTTGAATCAAATTGTGGTAAGAAGGGAAGGTTTTCATCATACCAATGGTATGAAGAGGAGTCATGGTTGATTAGGGTTTCGGTTGATGTTGCTTTTTTCTTGAATACTCTGCAGACTACCCATCCTTCTTCCTGTAAAATGAATCAGTGAAAGTAGTTTGAAATATTGCTTATAATATCGATGTGATTATGCAATTGTAAGGTTAATAACTTCTATGGTTACAAGTCAAATAGGCCGAATAGTTTGAATTTGAATAGAATAAATAACACACTTTCTAGCTCACAATTTTAAAATTATATATTAAAATTTTGTCACTATTTTTTACATTTTCATTAGAAGTAGTAGCTTAATGTTTCGTTTGGAACGACTTTCTTATTGCTTCTTAAATCAATTTCTAGTACAAAAATTTTGATTTTTTATGATTTTTGTATGGAAAAACTGCTTTAAGCAGTCAAAATGTCATCCCAAAGGAAGCCTAAGTCACTTTTATTTAATTTAATGTAATATTTACATATTTTTGAAAAATATGACTACTGATGCATGGAATATAATTAAAAAATTTAGTAAAAATATTTTAAAAAAAAATAGAATAACTAAAGATCATCTGTAGTTATCATATCCTGAGCTAAATTTCATGTACAATATGAATCTTGATCAAATCTTTTTCTTTATTCATATTGTTGAGATTTCAACGATCTGAATGAATCAATAAGATGAAGGGGGTCCAAAAGTGACTAGAATTCATCATCATTGCATATGCAACTTTTAAAAATAAACAAAACGAAAAAAGACAAATGCTCTATATATATTGCTGGGTTGCAATTTAAAAAAAAAAACTTGCCTGAGGAGGGCCATTTTCATTTGTTTCAAGTCGATATTCGTGCATAATCCAATCCAGCTTTTGCCCATTTGGTGCTCTACCTTTATAAAAGACCAAGGTCTTTCTCATTCCAACTAAATTATTTTTTGAGTAGATTGGTTTGTCTCTTCCAGTTGCTTTCCAAAATCCAGCTATAGTTGCTCGATTTGTGCGAGTTCCAGTTGGATATTTCTTGTCTTTATGACTGAAAAAGTACCATTCATTCTGCTCTTCTATGCCTATCTTACATTTTTCTGTTCAAAGCAAAACAAGAATATAAAATCTTAATATGGTTACTTTATATAAAGTACGTAATATCAAGCCAAAACTTTCAATAAAATAAATGATCATTAAAATAAGATTCCACCACTTGGTATAAGAAAATTATAGTCTCTAGTTATGATAAATAACGGTAACAGTTGAACTTATTTCACAAGCTATGGGTGATAAAAAAATTTTGTGCGAAAAAAGTTATTTTAAGAAGCAGTAAGAAGGTTGTCCCAAACGAAGCCTGAATTGACTTCAGTTTTGTTTTTCATAGCAATTTTGCTTGCATAAATGACTTGATTCGCTTTCGTTAATTTAGATTTGAAGTTTTCTTAATTAAAAAACTTTATTGTAACCAAATTATACTAATACATGATTATCTTAAGCCATCTAATCAAATATAAATAATTATCTCAAATTTATAGCATATAGACAAGAGCGGAATCAACATCTCTTTGAGGGTGGGCAAAATAAGATTGTGAAATGCGTAATTTTATGTATGAAATTAAAAAAAAGAATTTTTTCTTAGAACTTGGGCAACTATATTCGTTGAAGGTGAGCAAAGTAGTTAAAATGCATATTCTCTTTTAAAATAAATTCAAACAATCTTTTTTAATATCAAATTTCCTATGAGAAGCACCACATTGGTGTTCTCAAAGTGACAGCACATGTAACTAAGGTTTTGTTTGGAACAACCTTCTTACTGTCAATTGTAACTAAGGTTTAGTTAAAATGCATATTCTCTTAAAGCAACTTTTTAGTACAACTTTTTTCATTTTTTACTAAAAAGCTTAGGCGTATTTATACCCAAGATAGTTAAAATTGGGTAATTTTTTCTCGTAGATAAATAGATGGTCACCTAACTTTGACCATTTCTAAGAATGATCAATCACTCTTATTTGGATAGCTTTTTCTCACCTTAGGGTTCATTTATTTTAATTAAACAATTCTTTTTCACATTAGCTTCACTATTTAGAAAATCTCAACATATAGATACTTCTATTATAACTCTAAATAGACCTCCTATTGTAAGAGTTTTAATGGACACAATTTAAATTAGATATAAAAATGCAGCTCTTATCAAAGATGGTTATTGCAATTCCCTTTGTAGACCATTTTAAAAGTCCTTTAGATTGTGATGTTTTGTTTCATTAAAAACAAAAACTTTTATGATTTGCAGCACATTATGATCTTCTTATCTATGATAAATGCAGCTCTAAAGAAAAAATCATAATGATCATATATGGAGCTACCTTGAAGATCCCATGGCTCAATTTTGTAGAGATCAACATCTTTTATGACATCTATGTCATTCCTTCTTGATGCAACTTTCTTTCTAAGATAGTAATCTACAAGTTCTTCATCAGTTGGGTGAAATCTAAATCCAGGTGGAATATGAGAAAAAGTAGTCATTTTCACAATATATTACAGTGCTGGTCTCCTGCAAAAGTAAAATATTTCAATATTAGATGGTGAAAATGAAAAAAAAAAATTATTGAAATATGAACAATATGCATTACATATATAATGTACTAGCTACGAACAAGTTCTTCAAAATGTTTGGATGTATTCCTTGAGAAAGATAATTAAAACTTAAAAATACTACAATGTTCACTAATGGATAAGATTATAATTTTAAAAATGAATAGAAAAAAAATTAAAAAATAAGATTTATCATGACTAAGGCTTCTTTTGGGACAACTTTCTTGATGCTTTTCAAAACAGTTGTTTAATACAAAATTTTTTCGAATTAGATATTTTTGTACTAAAAAACTACTTTATAAAACAATAAAAAAACTGTTCAAAACGAGCCCTTGTCCTAAGTGTGTAAGTGCACCATTCAATCATTGTGATAGTTGTAATTAATTAAACTTTATGATTTATAAATTGGAGCTTGATCGATAGCACATATCGAATGATGTTTGTTTAATCTAAAATGGCCAAGCATCCCATTAGTTTGTAAGGCTTTGTTTATGAGGCCTTTCTTACTGTTTCTTAAAGCAGTTTTCTAGTACATAAATTATAATTTTTTTACTTAAAAGCTGCTTAAAAAAAACAGTAATAAAGCCGTCCCAAATGAAGTGAACTCAAACTAAAAAACTATTTTAAGTAGTAATAAAGCCGTTCTAAGACTATCATGCTGTCTTCCCAGCAACAGAACATGAAAATGAGCCATATATATATATATATATATATACAGATTATCGTGCTTTGTCTTCCCAGCAACAGAACATGAAAATGAGCCATATATATATATGCCTATTATAGTTTTCTTCCATTTTCTTGTTGTTATTGTAACCTGTACGTTATGCTGGCAGATTCATTCAAAGTGGAACATACATGGTGAACAAGACAAAGTACTTATATAAATTCTATAGCTTGTGAATTTTAAATATAACCTTATAGTGATTTAATTCGTTTTTTAGGATCGAGTTTGTGCTATAATTCAGATTTGTTATATAATGAAAACAATTGATTAACATGTCTGTATTTTTGTTTTAGATTTGTCCTGAAAATGCATAAAATTAGATACAAAAAATTTCAAATGTTATTTATATTTTTGTAATTGAAAATAAACTCAATATTTTGTAGAGATAGATTTTAAACATACTTGAATTCTTCATAAAATTGCCACCAAATCACTTATTGTTGTTCTAATTTCTCAAGATTCTTCTTAAGAAGACATGTTAAAATAATTACTCTTATTGCTTGCTAAGAAATTTGAGTCGGTAGAGTGTGTATTTTAAGTTTTAGCAGTGTACAAAGTTTCATCACATACAAATGAACGTAGTAGGACTAGAGAGTTTTTTTACGTGGAAAATCCGGAAAGGGAAAAAACCATGGAGCTTGGCCTAGTTGTAAAATTTACTAGGTAGCAAGTGATACAAAGATATATCATCCCTTCTTCACTGTTGAAGAAGAGGGAAATTACAAAGATCAAGTGTTAGCAGAGAGATAATCTATACCCAACAATATGACTTAATTTTCTCAATAGTGATTATAGAAATAGATCTCCACAAGTGAACAAATAAACCCAATAATAGGATCAAATTATATTATAAATATTTTGAAGTTGGTGGTGATTCCTGATGATGGTCATTAGTGGCAATGATGGTTGTTAGTAGCGATAGCTGGTAGTGATCGTCGACATCGATGGCTAGAAAATGCAAGAGAGTTCTCTTAATAGATCTCTTTCTCCTCTCTTCCTCGTCCTCGCATGTGAAGAATATGAAGTCCTATTTATAGGTTTTTAGGAGTGACATGATCTATAGATATAGAAAAAATTTAGGACAAAGTTGGAGTGTTTCATCAAATGGTCTATATTAATTTCTTTGATCATAAAGCTTTCGTCAAGCATTTAAATGCCTTAATGATGTCAGAAATAAGTGATCTTTGGCTCGTTATATTCGGCATCGAGTTGTTCGATTTGAAAATAAGCATACTATATTTAGAGGTTATTTGGTTACTCAATTAATGCTTTGAAGCTTCCAAATATGCTTCAGACATTTTTGGTGTCATTGGGTTCGTTTTGTCTAGACATTCAGTTTGACTATAAGGTTGTTGACATCAAAGTTTGGATGGTTCCAAATATAAATTTTAAAGTTTTCAGTTCAAGTATGTCTCAAGATTAGTGTTTGATCCATGTAATTTTTGGAGATGTATCATTTGTCCCCTTCCCCCTATTTTTGGAGATGTATCATTTGTCCCCTTACTAGTAGAAAATAGTCAACCGTAATAACTAAAAAACTATTTTAAAAAAGTAATTCGCACCCCAGCCCGCCCACGGTGAGCGGGCCAGCTTCCACTTGTGAGGCTTGCAGCCCCGCTCGTGCCCAGCCCGCCCGTGGGTGTGCCTACGCCCTCCCGCGGTGCGCCTATGCCCACCTGCGGTGCGCCTAAGCCCACTCGCAAAACCTGCCCAAGCTCGCACCCACATACAACACACCCCTATTTGCGTGGAGATTGAAACCTAGGATCTCTTTTCCTTAAGAGTGTCAACCACTCTGTTGTGAAGTAAAAAATATGTTAAGATTCTAACAATTTTATATTTAAATAAACTAAACCATAACAAATTAAATAATAAATTAAAATTATTAATAACAATATTAATATTAAATTTATTAATAAATAATTAAACTAATTCTTAATTTAACAACTAAATTTTAATGATGAATTAAAACATACCATTAATTAATATTAATATTAAATTTAAAGTTAAATTAATACTAAATTTTAATTAATATTAGTATTAAAGTTATTACTATTAATTTAAAGTTATTTTAAAGTTATTAAATAAATAATGAATTAAAATAGACTATAAATTTACTAATTAATGAATTTACGAATATATAATCTTTTCATAAATTATTAAAACCCGTCGAAAAATTCGTTGGAAAAAAATCAGCTGGAAATCCACCGAAAAATCTTCCTAAAAATCTGTCTGAAATATTTCACATTTATCCATCAGAAAGCCGCCTGAAAATTTTCCATAATTTCCACAGATAATGGGTAATTGTTTTGTAGTGTGAGATTTTTGTACAATTCTATACCTTATGAGGTTTATTTCTTTTGAGGTTTAAGTGTACATCTACCTTTAAATGCTTTTGCCTTTTATGATTTTATGTACATGTATTCGTTTTGAGGTTTTAACCTCCCAAGATTTTTGAATGAGTGGAGATCAAGTCAACCACTTGCTCTCATAGAGTATTTCTAGTAAGGACCTTATCCATTATTAACTTCCATTATTAACTTTCCATCAAGGCCACCTCATGGGCGTGCCTTCTTAGGATTAGGAGTGGAGACTGTGTCACTTGCTCTCATAGGAAATAACCCTAGGAAGGCATGCCTCAACCTCAAAAATTTGAAGGCTAACAGCCTCAAGTTTTTATTTATACCTATATAAAATTTGAGATTCACTAGAACAATTCTTATATTTGTTATAAATTTTATGAATGGTGGTTATTAAAAAGATTATTATGGCCAAAAGCATAATATATTGGAGGGACTTACTCAATCACAACCATATTTGAGATTTCAACATAAATATTTCTTTGAGGTTGTAGCTAAAGTTACCCCTAACCTAAATCTATTTTCCATAAAATGATATAACAACAACTGATGATTGGGAAGATATATAATAATATTTAATTTGTTTGTTGTTTTAGTGAGATTGCTCGTTATTGTCTAACCTCGAATGATTGCAAGATTTAACTTTAACATTCCTCCATCCTATACATACAATCCTCCAAAGTGAGGCCTAGGGGAATGTGATCACCCATATTTTCTTATTCTTGATTAAGGGGTTGATTGTTAGTAATTGATGAAGTTAAGTATGGTGGGAATATTCCTACAGATGATGTGAAATTATTGTGTCCTAGAAAATTTGAGTCAATAGATTATGTATTTTGTATTTTAGCTGTGTACAAGGATTCACAAAGAACAAATAATTAAAGTAGTAAGACTAGAGAATTTTTATGTGGAAAAACTAAAAGGGAAAAAATCATAGGACCTAGCCTAGTTATAAATTTCACTATATAACAAGTGATAGAAAGATCATTCCTTCTTCACTATTAAAGAAGAGGGAGAGTACAAAGATTAAGGGTCGACAAAGGGTTAGTCTATACTTAAAAACATGGCTTAATTTTTTAATAGGTATTATAAAAATAGATATTCACAATTAGTCAAAAATACCCAACAATAGAGTTAAATCTTACAAGTATTTTGGAGATAGTGGTGATTTCTGATGTTGGTCATCGGTGACGATGATGGTTGTCGGTAGCAATAGCTGGTGCTGATCGTCGATGACGATGGCTGGAAAATATAAGAGAGTTCTCTCTTTATCTCGCTTTCTCCTCTCTTCCTCCTCTTATGTGAAGAAAGAATGCTTATTAATAGAATTTTAGGAGTTGCGAACTCCGTAAATATAAAGAATCTACGACAAAATCGTAGTGTTTCATCAAACGATCCATATTGATTCATTTTATAATAAAGCTTTCATCAAGCATTTAAATTCCTTAATGATATCATAATTAAGTAAACTTTGGCTTGTTGGATTCATCTAGCATTCAATTTTACTATAAGCATATGGCATATTAAATGTCATTTGGTTACCTAATTAATGCTTTTAAGCTTCTAAAAATGCTTTAGAACTTTAGTTTGAACTCATTTGGACTCAGATTGGGCTGATTTTGGTGTCATTAGGTTCTTTTTGTTGAGAAGTTTAGTTTTCCTGTACTCTTACTGATAACGGAGTTTAGATGGCCTCAAATTTGATTTTGAAAGTTTTCAGTTCAAGTATGCCTCCAGATTAGTGCCTGATCAAGGTGATTTTTGGTGACATATAAACGCTTAACGGATAGGAAGCTTTTTCTTCAACTCGAAGCATTCACCATTTTATATATGAAAAAAATTTC